GACAGTGCAATTCATAATAAAAAAAAAATCTCAAGAAATGGCACGTTCCGTTAAGAACCATAAAGTAAGCTATGAAAATAAAAAAAAATATATATATAGTCTCTCAATAGCCAGTTCTTTTATCAAATCATAAGAGTGTTCACCATTCCTGAGGCTCATGTTAGACTATGAAAATTATAGTCACTATGGAAAAACATACCATCATCACCAGAGGTGGTCCATACACGTTTTCCCTGGCATAGCATGTATCTACTCAGAAAGCCTTCCTCTCCTTTCCCTCCACCTGTTAATGGTTTAGAATTATTTCAGTTCCAGATTCAGTTTGCTGAAACATTTGACATTACCTTCTGCCTTTACCAATATTTTTAAAAATAAGCATTGAAAGTAGTCTTTTTTTGTTAATAAATATATTTCTAAATAGCTGTGGAATTAATCTTTCAGGTAGGATAATTATTTTAACATCTAATTAGATACTATTTTAATTTCTATTTCCCCCTCTGGAGTATCTTCTGCTTTTCTTCGTCACTTAGAAGTGCTAACATGTATGTTTTCTTTTTAAACATGGATGTAGTATCTAATAAAGCAGAAGTCTCACTCACTTTCTCTATCTCAAATATGAATCCAGATATCAGCTTGTAGCAACTCTAGCAACCTTTTATTATTTCAGAGACTGTGCCTGCCAAAACTGTGAGCCACCACCAACCTGATTCTAAATGACAACACTGTGAACTTGGTAGGCAGTCATACATCAACAAGGGAAACTCTAGTGAGGAACTAGGGAATTGCGTGTCTTAGTTGCTTTTCTCTTGTGATAAAACGTCACAACCAAGGCAACTAGAAGAAAGAATTTATTTCGGGCTTACAGTTTGAGGGGTTTAGAATCCATGACCATCATGGCAGAGGGATACAGCACAGGCAAGCAGGTATGTCACTGGAGCAGTAGCTGACAGCTCACATCTTGAAACAACCCAGAGGCAGTGAGAGCCAACTGGAAATGGTGTGGGCTTTTCAAAATATAAAGCCAGCTCACAGTGACATACTCCCAACAAGGCCACACCTCCTAATCCTTCCCAAACAGTTCCATCAACTGGGAACTGACCATTCAAATATAAGCCTCTGGGGCCATTCTTCAACCCCCTACATCATGTCCGTGGAGTAAAGGTTATAGTGCTGGTCACTTTACAAATGACATCGCACATTAATGTTTCCAGTAACATTAGCAGTATCTTATGACCGTTGACTGATGAATGCCATTTCTGAAGTTTCTGTTAAAATGCACATTTAGAACCGAATCATTCCCATCTCATACTTAAAAACAGGATTTGAATTGAACTTTTGATAGGAAGACTCTTAATGGAGAAATGTTGCTGTGTTTGAAGACACTGAAATGTTATTGTACGATTTTACAATATTAGTACATTCTAATAAAGAGATAAATTTAATCTTAGTTTTTATAACAGTATTTTAAAATGTGAAAATTTATATCAGATACTGTATTCAATTTTGTGGAAATAGAAATACATTAATAAGAAAGGACAAGAGACTACGAAAACCTCTAGTCTGAGTTATACACATAACACAATGTAATACAGGATAATAGTGTTCACATTTAAAGATGATTTTAATATACTAAAGGCCTGTAATATAAAAAATATTGTTAATATAAAAATAAAGTAAGTATAATACTTTTAGATGTTAAATCTGAGCATTTTCTGTTGAGAAGTTCCCCAATCACACGTAAGGAATATTTATTCATTTTTATAGTCTTATTTAATAGTCTAATAGCTAATAAACACATGTGATATGGTGAGACTGGCTTTACAGCTTTATAACAAGACTCCTCTTTCGTGTTTTCTTTTTTTGAGACAGCATCTGATTCTGCAGCCCTGGCCGCAGACTCGAGATCTTTCTGCTTTTGCCTGTTGGGTGCGGAGATTACAGGTGTGTGCCATCATTCCTGGCTTTCTTCCTATCATTATTTAGTATCCACTCCCAGAGTCACTGTTGCCTAACTTCTTAAAGCAGATAGCAAGCCTAAAAATAAATAAATAAATAAAAGGAAAGAAGGAAAAAGCAGCATCTATGTCAAACTGGATGACATATTTGAAAAAAAAAAAGTATGTGTATATATATATATATATATCTTAATGTGACACCTTCGACATCAGAACCACCCACTTTTTGTTCCCCTCATCCTTTTACAAGACATAATGTAAGCATGTAGTCACGGAGTCTTTTTTACAATCTAACCTCGCAGTGAAACTACATACAAATTTACTGCCTGTGTTTCCAGAGAGGCTGGACAAACCACAGTCAATTCAGCAAGACTAAAATCTCTAGAACTTCAGGTTCTTTTAAATCAGGCGTCGGTCATAAGGCATTTATTATTATTAAGGTAGAGTTCCAGGGACTATGTCTATAACTGATTCAAGACACAGGACTTCCCAGCCAGTCATCGTTACAGATCAGTGATTTGTTACTTTTAGTAATATTAAAGTCAACTTTATATGAAAAAGGAAAGAATTTTGGTCATGTTTGAACAAGTCAATGACAAATTTAAATAAAAAATAAGAAATAAACCTTCAAATAATTTTTTAAAAATTAAATCTGCATGTGTGTGTGTGCACATGTGTGTGCATGCCTCTGCTCCAGTGCTGAAGTGAGAACAGGTGTCGGTCTTTGCCCTGCACCTTGTGTGTGGCAGGGTCTTGTTTGCTGCTATTCTGTCCACCACACAAACTGGTAGGCAGAGCTTCCTGGAGTGATTCTCTCAGCCTCCTCTCTTGTGTAGGGGTAATGGAATTACAGGTGTGTTCTACCGTGCATCCGGTCTTTATATAGGTTCTGAGGATTTGAACTCAGGTCTTCATGCTTTCATGACAAATAGGTTGGCACTGAGTCCCTTACGCAGTACAAATTTTCATTGCTGAAAAGAGCTCACATGGCTGAAGCCGCCCTAAGTTCAACCTAAGCACTAGATGAACTGGGCTGACTGGTACATGAGCCCAGTCCTCAGTAGGTGGAAGATAAGAGTGTCGAGGTTACCCGCAGCTACACAGCAAGTTAGAGGAGAATCTGGGCTAAAGACCCTGCCTTAAACAAAAACGAACAAAAAAACACATTTGGTTTACTTCAACACAATCTTAGCTATCTTCCACTTTAAATATGCAAAATGTAGTCAAACAACCTCTGTTCTGCATTCTGAAATTAATTCCCTAGTGTTAATTTATTCTGAAAATTTGACCCAATATTGAAATAGATGCCTTTATTCCCTCATTGACTTAGTACCACTATCCATGACAAATCCTACCCGAGGTAGTCTTAATTCCTAGGCCTTTTTTACAGTCTTCTATTTTTACACTAAAGTAAAATCAGTACATTTTTTAGTATCCCTATCTGTAGCCAGTTTTTACAAGAAGAAATATAACCATCTGAACAAATCTGTCAACTTGTTAAATGTAAGTAACTGGTCAGAGGTCTGTTTAATATTTGAATTCTAAAGAAGGTCTCTGAATTATGGATAAATTATGCTTCCTTAACTGACAAACAAGGAAATGTGGGTAATACAAGCTTAAAGAAAAATGCCACAGGCTTACTACTGTGGCTGTATAAACAGCATGTTCTGGGTAAGCATGTGGGTGGGGGCAACAGAGAGAAGCACCGAGACACCAGAGATCACACTTGGGTTATCTATCTCTGGGTAGCTGTTCTACAATGCTGGTGGTGTTTAGTAGCTGAATCAATGTTCTCCAAAGCCTAGTCTGCTATCTTTTGTTCTAGGATATGTATGCCCAGTTTACAAAAGCAAGCAGACTGTGACTCATAAATTCCATACCAACTACAGTGACTGCTGGGAATGTTAAACTCCAGCACCAGTGCAGTAAGGAAACGTCTCTGAATGCCCCAAAGTTGAAATACTACTACATCAATATCTCACCCATATATCCTTAACAGGAATAACAAGTTTACCCTTCATCTGGCCATTCTGAGAATTAAATAGCATGCCCTTAGCAACAGTGCCAGGAAGACAGGTATTATAACAGTGTATAGCTAGTGTTGGATCTCTACAGTCCATGTGAATGTCTCTGACAAACATGAAATATTTTTCAATAGAAAATATTTGTATATTTTCTAAAATTATATTACAAAAACCATGTAGAATAAAAAGAATGAAAACAAGACAAATTATAATGCATGCAGGCTTTGGAATGACAATTGAGCAAATAAATGTTAGGGTATTTAGTGATTTAGATACTACTGCCTTACTAAACCTCAGGTATGTACTTATTCATTTTCACCTTTATGTACTTTAATAAGTTCATTCTGAGCTACAATAGACACAAATTGTTGAATACAAGTACAAATTAGAAAATTAAATTCATTAAAAATTAAGACTGAATATTACTTAGTACAAAGCCTTTTTCTTAGAAAAAAATAATTTTAGGAAAAGATTAAATTACAATAAGTATTAAAATTTCACAGACTTTTTAATGTCTAGATTTACCACCTTTAACAAAAGGATGTCTCTAACATTTGAAATATAAAAAATATCTTTATTTAACTAAAAACCTATAGACAGGTTTTTTTTTTAATTAGCATGAAAGTCTGTATTGGACTGGTTTAATGAAAAGGCAATTTTTTTTTTTTAAGTAAAACAGGTAAGAAGATCACAAGTTTGAGGTTAGCCTGGGCTACACAGGAAAGCCTGTTCCAGAACAAAACCAAACAAGTACATTAACCTCTACCGCTCCCCAAATGCATCTTTATGTGAAAATGAAACTAAGAGAGCAGTTTCTCCACTCTCCTTTATTGCATGCATTGCAAGGTGCACTGGACAGCTTTATCTAAGAAAGTGTGTGTGTGTGTGTGTGTGTGTGTGTGTCGGGGGTGGGGTGACAAGAAGAGAATCTAAGTAATAACCATTCTTGATAAAGAAATGAGGAACTCCAAGTTAAAACTACAAATGTTGGTCAGTTTTATAAAACATAAAACTAGCTGGAATCACATGCACAGATGTTTAATTAGGAATAGTAGAGGAACTTAAATACAGGATTTGTCAACAATAAACATTTTTAGTGCAAATAGTGCAGAAATATTTCTCAAAACAAATATAGCAGTCATTCTAATCTATACAAAATCGGTCTCAGTCTTGTATACAATCTATAGAGTGCATCTGGAGTTCAGCCATGGTCATGAAATGCCAATTCTTAAGTCATAAATATCAAACAATGTGCTTAGTTTTGTGTCCCGTTTCTTTCTTGATTCATGTTTTCAGGAAAATCTGGAATGGAAAAAATTTTAAATTTAAGATTTAATTTAAGATGATAAACTCTTATTCCTTTATACTGTCTTCTGGTTTAGATTCACTGTAACATGACTGGGAGGGAATTGGATAAGGAAACTATTAAGTATGGTCCTATATAATAATTTATTTCTACTTCTTGAGCTTGGGTAAACACAAAAAGTATAAAAATGATCAATTTAGAAATTAGATCAAAACAGTTCAGATTAGGTGGTAATCAATACAATCTGAACTAAACTGAGAAACGCCTACCACCTTTTTTTCTCTTTTCAAAGAATCCCATATGTGCCTCCACAAAGTCTACTCCTTCAGCCCAGATGGCTGGGTGAAGAACCACATGGTCCCCATCTCTAGCCATGTGATTAGGGGAGAGAATGCACCCATCTCTCCTAGGGATTTGTACTCCAAGAGACTCTGGGTCCTCTAACCAGCTGCTTCGAGCAGTAATGGTTGCTGGGTTACTAAGAAAAGAGGGATGCTGATGTAGGTCAGTTGTAGCTTGTTGAACACATGGGAAGCAATGGGTCTGACCCAGCAATCCACACACAAAAATCAGACTGAGAAATGAGAAACTGCCAGCCTGAGAAAAAAAGAACTGTTTTGGTTCCTAAGTGGCTTCCAGTGTTTCCACTCTCAGTAACTGGGCTGTTACCTTTTCATTTTGGCTCTCTGGTAACTTTGTATTTTCCTTCAACAAGAAGTTTATATTAAGGTTGCTGGAGTATGTGGTGGTTAGAATAAGAAATGTCCCCCACAGTCTTGGGTAACTGAACACATACATGGTGCTGTTTTGGGAGGTGGTGCAGCCTTGCTAGTATATCACTGTGGGCGGGCTTTGAGAATTTGTAGTCTCCCTGTACTCTTTGTGTTTGTGGTTGAAGATATGGTCTCTTGGCTTCCTGCTCCAGCTGCCTGATGCTATGCCTCCCTCATCATTATGGACTTTCCCTCAGGAACCATAAACACAAACTCTTCCATTTAAACTTGTCTTGATCACGGTATTTTATCACATCAATAGAACTAATACAGGGCAAGATATTCTTCTGCAAGGAAAACATCACTAACACAAGTAGAGGAGGAATGACAGAGCTTGAAGGCTGAGAAGATGGCAGTAGGAAGAACACTACAGGTAAGCTAACCTCGGGGAAAATGCAGTTTTCCTTAAGGACACCCTCACACAGAGAAAACACTAAAAGGTTTCTACTAGCTGTAGGCTTACTTATACAATGGTGTGTTTAATATATAATTATCAGCATTGTATTACATATAACAACTATAATGACACTGTGAACAGGCTCTGTTAAGAACTATCTAGTTAAAGAATACTTGGTAATAGCCTTGAGATACTAGCTGAAATGCGATTTACCTATAGAGGAGCATGAAATTGGCTGTGCATTGCAATCACCTGGTGAAGCTTCTCTTCTTTAGCTCTTCTACAGTGGCAAATCTGGAAGACAAATTATTTAAAATACCAGTCAGTTTTCCAACTACTTCCTACATTATGACAGAATTCCAAGTAAGAATATTTCAATTAGTTAACATTCTTTTAAGTTTTTAACATTTAAGGTAGCTAATAATTAGTCAGAAAAGCACTGAGCTCCATCTGAAAACAATCTTTGACTACAAACTTCCCTGATCTAATTCAAATGCCTGTGCTTTAAAAACAAAGAAGTAAAGCATACTCTTGTTAATCAAAATAGAGTAAACTTTTCCCTGTCTGCTTTAAAGGGTTCCCGCACACAAACACACACCCCCACACAAACATTTCATAAAACTTACCAAATAACAAGTATGACTTCAGAGATTGGGTAAATATTTAGGCCTCTATTAATCAGTATGAAATTGTTAAGCAGATTGTTTTCCTTGAATACAATGGGAACACCAGAATAGAAGCTGTTCTATTTTTATTATTTATTGTATTTTTAATCTCTATAGGTTATTTTGTAATTAAGCAACTTATAAAAAAGGTGGTTTTTCAGGAGACTATTATAGCTATTAAGATTAAACGAAGCTGATTTACCAGCTCTGACCCAATGATGCAGATACTATCACTTCTGCAAGAGAACTCTCATTAGATCACCTGTTGTGTGTGCAGAACTAAGAGGGTTAGAACGACAGTAGGTGCTGCCGTCCTTCCCCAGACAGGTTTTTCAGAGCCTGCTCAGTACTCAAAACTCCAGCTTGGTCTGCACTGATGATCTTTACTCATGACCACACTTAAATTTGTTATCATGTTGTCACTCATTCTCAACTGAAGAGTTTCACATACTGTTCTCTTTTCCTTGAAGCTACTGAGAAAATCATCTATTTCGGTTTTTCCCTCCAAGAACTCCTCAGCAATGTTATCCGACTCTTCCTCAGCTTCATGTGCAGCTACTTTCAATCTTGCCTGGAGGGCACTTGCACTACAACTCTGTGAACAAACAAAAAAAAACAAGCATTGCATTAGTCCGTAATTCTCATATCAATTAAAGAGAAGGAAAATGAGGCAGAGCTATGGAAAGCAATCTTCACATTGAATACTTGGATAGACAACACCTTGGGGTTTCTAAAGCTATGATGGAACACCATGACAAAAAAAAAAAAAGGAATTGGGGAGGAAAAATGTTTATTTACCTTACACTTCCACATTACTATTCATCACTGGAGAAATTCAGGACAGAACTCAAGTTAGGAACCTTGAGGCAAGAACTGATGCAGAGGCCATGGAGGAATACTGCTTACTGGTTTGTTCCTCATGGATTGCTCAGCCTATTTTCTTATAGCACCCAGGACCACCAGCCCACTGAAGCTACCACCCACACTGGGCTGGGCCCTCTCCCATCAATCATTAATTAAGAAAATGTACTACAGGTGTGAGTAGAGCCCAGTCTTATGGATGCATTTTCTCAGCTGGGGCATCCTCCTCTCTGATAACTATAGCTTGTGTCAAGCTGACATAAAATTAGCAAGTACAGATACCAAACACAAAAGAAACTAAATCACGAGCTGTAAACTATTAATGAGAAACTGACAAATCACTATTCTACTCTGGAAATTTGGGGATTAAATCACTGTGAGAACACCTACTCAGATCACCCAGTGACTCCATTTCCTCGTATTCCTGTTCTTGTCTGCCCTAGTGAGCTAGACCATAATTCATTTCTAAAGAACCAAATGTGACAAAATTGAAGGGATTTAATATGACCACAGAAGCAGATTAAGTGCACACTGACAACACTGCTGAAAACAAAGAAGTGGTCATCGCTTGGAAGATTTAATACTGTTATGATGTCAGTGCTAACCCTAAAGATTTACAAAATCAATGCAATTTCATATATTTCAAGAGTCCTTCATTGGAAAAAAAAAAGTATCCTAACATTCATATGATATCTCACAAGACTGAACAGCCAAGAGATCTCCCTATCATAAACACTGACACACACATCCCCATAAGCCAGAACAAGACAGGGTCCCACTTCCAGTGACCTGGCCTAATGCAAACACCCCATTGCCAAAACAACCTCTAGATTTCCAACAAGACCACCCTCCCCTACCTCCAGTGACCTGCTATCAACCCACATTCTACCTCCAACCTGCTGGATCCCCCACATCCTTTTCCAGGGTCTAGCCTGGTGAGTCTGTATGAACTCCCCCAAACACACACACACATACTCACCAATCTGCTAAGTCTAGTCTAGGACCCACATCCAGTGCCCAGACATAGTTTGTCCAGCTCTATCTATGCCCAAGTCAATCTCTAGACTTTCAGCAAGACCAACCATTCCTACCCTCAAACCAACAGAGCCCTTCACAGACTTTGAAAGAACAATAATCAACTTCATATGAAAAAAAGCAAAAAAAAAAACAGGACAGCCAAAACAATCCTGCACAATAAAGAAACTTCTGGAGGCATCACAATCTCTGACTTCAAACTCTACTATAGAACTATAGTACTAAAAACAGCCTGGTATTGGCATAAAAACAAACAGGAAGACCAATGGAATCAAATCAAAGACCCGGATATTAATCTACACACCTATGAACACCTGATTTTTGACAAAGAAGCTAAAATTATACAATAGAAAAAAGAAAGCATCTTCAACAAACGGTGCTGGCATAAATGGATGTCAACATGCAAAAGAATGAAAATAGATTCATATCTATTCTCATGCACAAAACTCAAGTCGAAATGAATTAAAGGCCTCAATATAAACCCAACCACACTGAACCTGATAGAAGAGAAAGTGGGAAGTAGCCTTCAATGCATGGGCACAAAAGACCACTTCCTATGTATAACCCCAGTAGCACAGACACTGAAAGCAACAATAAATAAGTGGGACCTCCTAAAACTGAGAAGCTTCTGTAGAGCAAAGGATACAGCCAATAAGACTACTGAATGGGAAAAGATCTTCGCCAACTCCACATCAGACAAAGAACTGATCTCCAAAAGTTACAAAGAACTCAAGAAATCAGACATCAAAATTCTAAATAACCCAATTAAAAACTGGGCTACAGAACTAAACAGAAGAATCTCAAATGGTGGAAAGGCACCTAATGTTTAACATCGTTAGCCATCAGGAAAATGCAAAACAAAATAACTCTGAGATACTACCTTACACCAGTCAGAACTGCTAAGATCAAAAACACCAATGACAGCTTATGCTGGAGAGGATGTGGAGTAAGGGGAACACTCATCCATTGCTGGTGGGAATGCAAACTTGTGCAACCACTTTGGAAATTAGTATGGCAGTTTCTCAGAAAACTGGGAATCAACCTACCTCAGGATCCAGCAATACCACTCTTGGGCATATACCCAAAAATGCTCAATCATACTAAAAAGACATTTGTTCAACTATGTTCATATCAGCATTATTTTTAATAGCCAGAACCTGGCTGGAAACAACCTAGTTTCTGTGTAATTATTTCGGGTAAAGCTAGCCGGGTGGCGCGAAGCGGCCCGCCACTCCTATTACAACAGATGCCCCTCAACTGAAGAATGGATAAAAAAAAAATGTTCCACATTTACATATTAGAGGAATACTAAGCGATTTAAAAAAAAAATGATATCTTGAAATTTGCATTCAAATGGTTGGGCCTAGAAAATACCACCCTGAGTGAGGTAACCCAGACCCAAAAAGATGAATTGGTATGTACTCACTCATAAGTGGATACTATCCATAAACTAAGGACATTGAGCCTATAGTTCATGATCCTAGTAACAAGGTAAATAACAAGGTAAACCCTAAGAAAAACATATATAGATCCACCTGAAAAGTTGAAATAGACAAGATAGCCTGACAAAATTGGAAGCATGGGGGTGAGAGGGTAGAAGGGGAAGAGGAGGGGAGAAAAGGAAGGGGGAGAACTTGAGGGGGGGTAGTCGAGATGGAGGAAGAACAGAAATGAGAGCAAAGAAAGATATCTTGATTGAGGGAGACATTATGGTGTTAGCAAGAAACCTGGCACTAGAGAAATTCCCAGGAATCCACAAGGATGACCCCAGTTAAGACCCTAAACAATAAAGGAGAGGGTGTCTGAACTGGTCTTGCGTTATAGTCAGACTAGTGAATATCACCCTGGAACCTTCATCTAGCAACTGATGGAAACTGATGGGAGAGACCCACATAGGAGCACTGGACTGAGCTCCGGAGGTCCAGTTGAAGAGTGGAAGGAATGAAAATATGAGCAAAGAAGTTAAGACCCATGATGGACTTAAACAGCTCACCAACTCCAGATGGACAGGAAAGGAACAAGCACACTCCAAACTAGTCCCTCTGAATGTGGTTGACAGACTGCACGGCTAGGGCAGACTGAGGGGCCACTGGCAGAGGCACCAGGATTTATCCCTACAGCTTGTACTGGCTTTTTGGGAACCCATTCTCTTTGGGTGGATTCCGTGCTCAGCCTAGACATAGTAGGAAGGGCCTTTGACCTTCCCCAAAGCAATGTGCCTTACCCTCTCTGTGGAGTGGATGGGGGCTGGGGGTTAAATAGAGGAATCGGGAGGAGGGGAGGGAGTGGGAACTTGGATTGGTATGTATAATGAGAAAAATAGTTTCTTCTCTTTTTAAAAAAAAAATTAAAAGGAAAAAAATTATACAATATATTGTTTACTTAAAAATTATTGAGAGTAGCTGGGCTGTGGAGATAGATACATGACTTTAATCTCAGCATTCGAGAAGGAAAAGCAGGTGAATCTCTGAATTTGAGACCAGCCTGGACCATAGAGCAAGCTCCATGACAGTCAAGGATACACAGAGAAACCTTGTCTCAGGGGTGGAAAAAAAATCACTTGGAACAAATCTTACATAAATATCGGGTAAGAAAAAGTGTTAAAGCTGAACTGTGTTGATGATGGGGTGCACAAAATCTCACTAAGTATAGCAGAACTCTTTATAGGACATTTGGTTTCCCTTGGCTGGGTTTCCTATTTTCACGTTTTTCATTATACCCACTGGCAATATTTGTGTTATCCATATTATACATGCGTTCTTTAAAAAACAAAACCAAAAAACTTCATTTTTGATTTTATCATTAATACATAAACATTTTAAATTTATGTATTTAAATGTGAACATTTTCTGCTCTATGCTTTTGCTTCCTACTACAATTGGAGAACTAGACTGTTCACATAAAAATCTTTGTTAAAAATGCCTAGGAATTAACTGGTTATTATACTTTTTACTGAAACTAAATAAATGCATAGTATCTTTTTATACTCTGCATAGTATGATATTTATGAAGTCTAGTATAAAAGATCAAAACTATTTTTGATTGGAAACTAAACCAATAAACAATTACATAAGTGTTGAACCCTAAAGTTTTTCCAGTTATTACTCACATACACAAGTACATTTTCAAACTGCAACCTGCTCCATACACTATTTTTCATCTTCCTATAAACTACTGCATCACTGGCTCAGGTAATAAACGGTTTCTGACGAAGTGAAAGCAAGGGCAGTGAACAAGGAACTACAGACTAGCAGCTCCCATGAGGACCAGAAAGAACCAGTCAGTCATACCTCACTGAGTTCATGTTGTCTTTGCATCTTCTTTTCAAAGGTAGATTTCATTTGTATAAGTAATTCATACTAAAAGAAAACATAAAATTCTGTTTAACTTGATTTTTAAACTGTAAAAACAATATGTTAAAAGTGATCACCAGTAACTCACCTTATCTAAAACGGTCTGCCTTTTGGTTTCCAAGCTATGCTCCAAAAGGAGATTTTTTCCTGTAAGATAAATAAATGTCTGGATTATTTCCCAGCACAGATCACATTTTTCTCAGGACTTATGAATTTAAGCAAAGGGAAACATACTTGCTAATTCCTCGATACTTTTTACTAAGTCTTCCTTGTCAGTAATAATTTGCTTTAGTTGCGGCAATGTCAGGAACTGTTCTAGTAATACATCCTCCTGTTCATTCATGTCTGTGAGCTGTGACACACTACAGACACAAGAGAAAAAGCAACCTGTTAGTATCAATCATCTAGTTTTTCTCCACGATGATAAATGTTCAATTTTTCAACATGACCTGTGTGATGGCTAGTTTTATGTGACACAAGCTAGAGTTATCTAAGAGAAAACTTCAATTGGGAAAACGCCTTTGTAAGCTTACTCTGCATGTAAACCTGTAGGACATTTTTAAAATTAGTGATTGACGTGGAATGGCCCAGCCCATTGCAGCACTAAAAAAAAAAAGCAACTGAGGAAGTCATATAGAGTAAGCCTGATGTGTATCCACAGTTATCCACATAGTTGGATAGAAGAACATGAGGAACAAGAGAGTGAGAATCATGGGGAGGATTAAAAATATGGAGGCTGATCACACTATTTTATTTCTCTTTCCATAGTGTTGATGTTTCATAAATTTTTATAGTAGGTCAACTTTTAAAAAGGAGAAAAGAAAGATAGTATTTATAAAATAGATGTCTTATTTCTTGACAGTTGAGCATTATATAGCATATTGAAGCCATAAAATATGTGTAATGTATCTTTTCTGTTGTGGGACTTGCATTCTTCAAAAATTATTTCTGATGTTTTCCCATGAATTAAAATACTGAATCAAATAATGTCAAACTTTGTTTTTTAAAATTACAGTTTTGCACATAGGCTTTAATCTGTACACTCCTGGTAGAATATATTCTGTAGACATAAAATTACAAAGACTTCTTAATTGCACTCAATAGTCTTAATAATAACCTCATGGATAATATAAATCCTTAGTGAGGTACATGGGATACTCCACTAAACGGAGGGAGCAGAAAATACTTTATTTGTGGCACATCTTACGTTATATGAAAAATAGTACATTAAGCTTGAATCCTGCCATCTTATCTGCTATAAATTTGAATAAAAATATGAATCTAAAACTAGTTTGCCAATATATTATGTTAACTTTAATCTACTCATCTATATACAACATTAACATTATTACTCTGCTAAAGAAATAATGAAAGATCTATTTTGCAATTATCAGAATCTAATATATTCACAAATAATTATCAAAGACTGCAAGCTGCGTGAGGGAAGGGAACTTCTGTTGCCCTGGTAATCATTACATCATTCTTGGCATCTAGAGCAATCTCTAGATATAGACGAGTCACGTTATAATTTATCATACAAAAGGTGATTTACATCATTTACCCACTAAGACAACCACAGCGAAGGAACAGTGAAAAAAGTTTAAATCATTTAACTTAATCTGAATATGAAACTATAAATAAAATAGACAAAACTATCTTTACTCTTCAAGTTTTTTACCTTAGTTCTGAAAGTTCTGGAAATGCATCAGGGATATCCGGCATCTTATAACCAAAACCATTTTGGTTAATCTAAAGAAGAGTTTTGAAGAATATTAAACCTCAGCTATACTTTTGATTGGTCCCATTTATCTGATATAAACTTTAAAGTACTGCATCTATTAGTGCTTTCACTATCACAACTTCATCTTTGCACTTCACATGTACATATATTTCCTTTGCATCAGTCTGTTTCTCAATGGACTTTTACTTGTTTTATTTCATTTATTCAAACAGGGTATTACTACTGTGTAGCTCAGCCTGACCTTGAACTCACTAACTAGTTCAGGCTGAACTGGAACTCTGCCTCCTGGCGAATGAGTTCCATACATGTGCCTCCACTCTCAATGTACTGTTATACATGAGTATACCTTTCCTGATGGGGATTGGATATGCGCTTTAGAAGAGCCTGTGTGGAAGTGTATGATTATAAAATAAATCTCTTGAGAGCACCTATAACAGGTATAAAGAATCACCTGTGGATTTCATAGATGTAAATGACTATACTTCTTTTAAGAAAAAACATCAAGCATAAATTAGTAAATTGCTAGCATTCTGAGTAGTTACATATTTAAGTTAAATAATAGGGTAGATGAAGAACATAGTACCAATTTGAATGTTTATGATGTCTATGTATTAGAATATCCCCAATTTTTCCTTAAAGTATTTTAAATATTAATTATAGTTTGTTGACAGGTATGGTGGCACATGTCTTTAATACTAGTACTCAGGAGGCAGAGATAGGAAGATCTCATTGAGTTCAAGGCTAGCCTGGCCTACACAGTGAGGTCCAGGAAAGCAAGAGCTACCTACTAAGATCCTGTCTCAAAAAACAAAATAACCGATAGTGTGTTCATAATCATTATTAACACAATAATGAAAAATTCTGGAAAAACAAAATCTGTTCAGGTCTATTTTTTTTAATAATTCTAAACTGTAAAAATCAGTTATGTTGACTATAATGTATATGCATACACATATTTATGTATTTGTGTTTTCTGTGTGTATATGTGAGTACAGGTATAGGTGTGTGTTGAGGTGAGGCTGGAGATCAACACACTGGGTTTCTTTCTCAGTTGGGCAGCGGGAGGATGACAACAGGGTTTTCTCACTCGACCAGGAACTCATTATTTGGCTGCTCTGGATGACTAACAAACCCCAGGAAATCTTTTGTCTAATTCCCCAGTAGTGGTATTACAGGAATGGATTACCACGCCTGGATTTTTTACGGTAGGTTCTGAGGATCTGAACTCAGTTCCTTGTGATTGCACAGGCCTTTAATGCCTGACCATTATGCCAGCCTCCAAATCTACAGATATACTGTATGCACATATTCATCTCTTTTTTCTTTCATATCCTACATGACAACAGATACCAGTTTCACTTATGAACATACAATTTTAAAGCCAATAAAATGCTGTAAACCTTCAGCATGCTCCAACAGACCCTCTTTGATTTGATACTTGCTTCTCCTATATAATCACATTGTGTGCCTTGTTCACACAAACAGCTAGAGAGATCTGTTATAGGCAACTTTACTAACATGCTCCCTGGCATATAGTGCAAGGCCTCTGCCAATGTTTCCAATCACCAAGTGCTTTATGGAGCCTCTCGTTTCCTCAAAATTTTATAACTATCTTTAGAAATCTGGCCTCAAACACAAACTGACCCACCCATTATCTGCCTCATTTTCACAGATCATCTACTATGTGCATCATCTGAAGCACTGGGAATAAAGTAAAAAGCGGGAATGATATTATTTCCCTACTATTTCTACTTGGTTTCTGGGGGCAATGACCTCAGTTGTCTCCCATAACCTTACACTATCTATAGAAGCTCTGTATTTGCAATTCTTTATTGGTTACCTTTTTGAGTTTTTTACTTGGGATGAAAAAAGTATGATTTAATCTTTTATTTCATGCCTATCTCAGTAAATGGACATAACAAATGCTAGCTGACTGAACACCTATTTCACAGGCACAAAATACAGACTCCTGAAGATACCAACCGGTGCTGAAGATTCTGTCGTGGGAACAGGTAATGGCAGACTTGAAAGGATGCCAAATGAAGGAGCCACTGGCTTGGCTGCGGTATAACTTGTGGTTGAAGAAGAAACAGTGTCAGCTACAGACAAAGATGCGATATTCCTATTAGCTTCTTGTGGAGGATATGGAGGAAGAAATGGAAAACCTTGAGAAGGGTAAGGAGGCATTCCACCTGGATTACTATACAGGCTGAAGAAAGAAAGAGAAGATCATTAGGTAGAATAAAATTATCACTAAATTGCCCTAAGGGTCATGCATTTCCACATAAGGAAATTTGCTTGGGCAAGTGGTTTTATTTATTTTTTAATATTTATTTATTATGTATACAATATTCTGTGTGTATGCCTGCAGTCCAGAATAAGGCACCA